AAAAAAAAGACGAGAATGTGGATATACAGGAGGAGCCGCAATTCTCGCAGAATTCGTTTAGTGTTTTTCCTACTGTGTTGATCGGTCTTCCGTGGTGGGAGGCGGGCATTGTCTTGTACTTCTGTCCGTTTTGTCTCGGAGCAAGTCTGAGATCCACCACTTGGTGGCACAAACCCTTTTTGGTTCAACACTGTCCCACCCTAGCTCTCGGCTCACAAAGTGTGGTTGTTAACGACGTCGTACAGACTAACCACGGCCAATTGAGAGACACAGTGTGAGTGTCCGCTGTCGCTGGGGGAAGGATGTGGGCAGGCCAGGAGGTCGGGCGATGGATGCAGGGAGGGAGGAGGAACGATTGATGGATGGATGGATGGATGGATGTGCGCCGCGGGGGTTTCGACTGGACGGATGCAAGTTCCAGATGGATTCCGTGAAGGATGGCCGGAGACGAGACGAAGAGGTCAACCTGAAATGGTGACCTGATCCCTTACCTGTATTGGACCCATCATATTAATTCTTCTTTTCTTGTTCTGTTAGTTCTGTCAACCCATCACTTTCTGACAGGTCACCCATCTCAGAGCCAACGTCAACATGTCCAAGGTCCCGGCCATCCTCGCTCCTACGGAGCAAGACGTCCAGATGATGCTTGCTGCTCAGGTTCACCAAGGTACCAAGGTAAGAACGCCGGAAACCTGGATGTAGACGGTTGGATTCAACTCAAAATGTGGAGAATGTGACCTGGAGAATGACTTTCTCGACCTGTTTGTTGTGTGGTTTAGAACCTGGACATCCGCATGAACACCTACGTCTGGAAGCGCCGCAACGACGGTACCCACATCATCAACATCGGCAAATCCTGGGAGAAGCTCGTCTTCGCTGCCCGTATCATTGCCGCCATTGAGAACCCGGCCGACGTCTGTGTCATCTCTGCCCGCCCCTACGGTCAGCGTGCTGCTCTCAAGTTCGCCCAGTACACCGGTGCCCAGGCCATCGCTGGTCGTTTCACCCCCGGTACCTTCACTAACTACATCACCCGCACTTTCCGTGAGCCCCGTTTGATCATTGTCACCGACCCCCGCACTGACCACCAGCCCGTCAAGGAAGCCAGCTACGTCAACATCCCCGTTATTGCCTTCTGCGACACTGACTCTCCTCTCCGCTACATCGACGTCGCCATCCCCACCAACAACAAGGCCAAGCACTCCATTGGTTTGATGTACTGGATGCTCGCTCGTGAGGTTCTCCGCCTCCGTGGCTCCATCGTCCGCACCCAGCCGTGGGATGTCATGGTTGACATGTTCTTCTACCGTGACCCTGAGGAAGTTGAGAAGGAAGCTGAGTCTGCCGTTGTCCCCGCTGAGAAGCAGACCTTCGGTGCTGAATTCGGTGCGAGCACTGAATGGGGCGCCGCTGAAGTCGACGCCACTGCCAACCTCGAGGTATGTACACTTTACTGGTCATTTTTTGTCTCGTTCAGCACATTCATACATCGGCCATTTTCACTAATTTTGACACTTATCAATCACATCGATACTTTCACAGTGGGAAGCCAGCGGACCTGGTGTTGCTGGTGTCGCCGCCATTGCCTCTGCCACCACCTTCGCTGCTGATGCCGGTGAATGGGGTGCCACCGAGACTGGTGAATGGGGTGCTGAACCCACCCAATCTGGCTGGGAAGCTTAAAAAAAACATAAAAAGTAGTGTAGACTCGTGCGCTCTCTGTATTAATATGCAAATCAATACACATGGAATGCACTCTCATTCGATTCAGTTGATGAAGGAAAACGAAAAGGCATCTGAATGCAGTGTGCTAGGGATTGTTCTCATCGCCATCCCATCCTTTTAGTCCTTTCGCATGCCCCACAAAAACAAGCTTTACTGTGTAGCACAGACTCTTCCCACCTCTCCATCTCCTCGGATCAACTACAAACCATGGCGACGCCGTTGATGTCCGTTGTCGTCTACGTTCTGGCGTTCAACTCGCTGTGCATCTTGTTCCTCAGCCTCCCATTTCACATCCGCTACCGCCGGTCCCTCATCGAATTCTTGTCCACCTCCTCCGCACTGCAAAAAGTGCGAACGGGCTTTGGGATTGCTCACACCTTCGTCGCCATCTTGTTCCTTGATAACCTGTACCGCCTCTACAGTATTTCCGAGACACTCACCGGAGCCATCGAGTCGGCGACCAGCGGCGCAGCGGGTACGGGCGGGAAACTGGATCACGACACCCTCACCGACCTGTTCTCGCGACGGTTCCGCAGTCAGCGCGACTTCTACATTTTGGGTTTCACACTCTACACTGCGTTGGTTCTCTACTGCTTGCACCTCATGGTACTGAGAATGGGGAGGTACAGGAAGGAAAGGGATGCTTTGAAGAACAAAGTTGGCGAGAGGGACGGAGGAGTTCCGGAGAGTGTTAAGACTGAGAAGGAAAGGAAAACCGAGTAAGATGCGGATTGGGGGGCAGGTTGAATGGGCCAGTGTGAGCAAGGAAAACTTAAGGGAAGACGGCAGGCTTTTGAAGAAAAACCGAGTCAGCTTTTCAGTGAATGCAGGATTGATGCGAGTAGGGAAGAAACCTCGTAAATGAACAAGTTTTTTTTGGTAGCTGTGGCAGTTTTGAATGTTTGGTGTTGAATCGCCATCCAACATATTGTAACTCTGTATACCCAATATATAGCAAATCCACATCAAATGAAGACTTCTGATGGATCACCCCATTTATAAAAAGATCGGTCGATGCACGTTTCAAATTTCGAGAATACCATACGTTAGGAGAGCTCGAAGAGAGTGAGGAATTGAAAAAGGTGGATGAGTGTGTGGGAGAACGAGGGAGTTTGGGGCAACGGCAGCACGGTGACTCAGATATCGGGGGAAGGGGGGGCGCTGATTGTCCTTCATTCCTCATCGGGAAGAGTTTCCCCCGTCAGCGAGACCGGGGAAAGTGGGGAATTTGTCATTGCGTATTTCTTCCCAGCGTTGCTGCGCAGGAACCGCGGTAGCGAGTCCTTTCGAAGCATGCCCCATAGTTCTTCAAGTATTGGGTCAAACAACTGCACCAAATCACCGAATCCGCACGGAGAAGAGAGGGGCGGAGTGCAGAGTGTCAATATAGTGTTTCAAACGTGAAGTTTGGAGTAAGTTCGCCAATTTCCCCCTACAGCAATGATATGAGAAGAGAAGTCCCACTACACACACCTCGCCATCTAACTCCCCTGACTCGATCTTTTGCCCGATCTTCGTTATCACCTTTTGCGGTACTGTTCAAGAAACGGGAGATGAAAATGAGCTTCTCAGTCGCTGTCATTCAAAGATTCTTCCCCGACGAACAGATCCCTTTCTAACGTATCCTTTGCCGTATCCTCTGGTCATCCTCTGTAACAAATACTGACCATTGCAAATGGTAGGCTCTGAAGAGGGCCCCAAAATGTGAGCTAAATGTTTAAACTTCACCAGTTCACCCAGATATGTTGTGAATATTCGAACCGCTTCTTGTGTGAGCATATCTTTCAAATCTTGACGTTGTCCTGGGGTATTCGCGACGTTGCCCCATTCCGTCGAGTTTAGCTTATAGGAAACAATCGCTTCATAGCAAGACAGATTCTCACTGGAGAACTCTTTTTTGAGGAATTCCTGAGCGATGTGTGTATGGGGAAATTGGAAAGTCACGGAAAGAAAGGGGAAAGGTGTGGGCAACGAAGTTGATGGGTTTCGGTTGAATATGGACATGCCATGAACACCAGGGCTAACTGTGGACGTTACAGCAAGCGACACCTGAAAGAAAGCGGAAAGCACACCTGCCACCACCAAACGACAAACGCGCTTCACGGAGGGTTTTCCATGGCCTTACCGAGAATTCGGCATGCGCTGTCTTGCGGGACAAAATTGATACCAGTATTTTGTCCTTTGTGCCGAGATGCTTCAATGAAGTTGGAGTAATAACGGTAAAGTCGCATGGTTCATTCAAATCGATTTGCAACGACGGAAGGCGCGGACGTGACATGGTTAATGGGCGAGGAAAGCTGCGGTATTCACGTTAAAATGGTCAGCACCACGGATTTGGAGTGGCTCCTCAGTTTTTGATTTGAAATCACGCCGATCGTATGTAAACATTTGTTTGTGGAAAGACATCGGTATTTATTTGTGCGAAAGGAAACGTTGTCACATCCCAAAATGTTCTGATCCTAAAAAACGCAGACTTTCGAAACTTTGCGTTGTGACAAACTGGACAAGGGGCTGAAAAACACAACACATCGAAACTCAAGCACCTAAACTCAATTCAACTCAATTTACTCGGGTTTATGGCGTCGCGATATTTGATTGGTCATAAATCAAAGCGCAACAAAGCTTGATATTTTTTTTGAAGGGTTGGAAATATATGCAAGAAAGTACGGGAGGGAATGAACGCTTCTGATGTTTGAATATTCTCCAATCGGATGCGAGTATTTTCGACATTCTTGGCCTTCTTAATTCAGCCGACGTGACCTCTCTTGGGGGCAACGACTACATATCATCATGATCCAACAAGATGCGTGATGGAGAAGGACTTGAATATCCAGACGATACACAATTCAGATACCCCGGCCTTCACATCAATTGCATTGAAACTGGATCCTCTTGTTTGATCAGGACTGCGGTTCTGTCTCCGACTGACTGAGTGTCGAAACCTTTATGCATCTCAATGCCACATTCATGAACGAAATAGGTGGTAATCACTCCAGCGATGGTTTCAAAGACAAAGAGCCTTGTAAGATTGCTAGCAAATGCGAGGATGTTCCAAAGGACATGCTGAAGTTCGTGAGCATAAAGAACCTTCGAAAATGTCAGGGTAGTTCAATTGCTCTATAGTCATGTTTTTACAAATTGTCCGTGTAGTAGGGCTAAATGAAAGGGAAGACAAAAAAGGTGGGCCAGATTCAGAGCGGAAACGAAAGAAAGACTCCACGACTGCACTCAAAATGTCTTAGTGCCATATGTAGCATTTTCAACCTAATTATCACGCATGAGTAGTATAGCGGTAGAATTCTTGCCTTCCAAAAACAAGAGGCCCGGGACCGACTCCCGGCTCATGCATAGCAGTGCGGCTGCCGTACAGTCCTGCGCTCTCCTGTTTTGGCAGCGGAACGATTACTACGGCTTCAAGTGTGCACGCTTTCATGTCGCTCTCTACGCCATGTATATTACATAATGATTGTCAAGGCTTCAAGCGTGCGCACACTCCCTGATGTTTTACTTAGGTAAGTAATCCTGTTTTGGTATGCCAAAATTCCTTAAGACATAGATGTGAGAATTGTTTACCAGATTCGTTCACTGCAAGGATTGCGGATGCTATTTGCCTACAAGCGCATTTCAGTGCGCAATATCTGCAAGGTTTACCGTGATTTTCGTATGAAACTAAGCGCAAGAGTGTCATATGCCATTTTCTGTATTCAGAAATCTAGAAGCATAGGATCTTCCGAGGTGCCTCCACCCTCCCCACCATCATCTGCCATCGCATCACCGGTATCCTGACTAGAGCTATCCAGCCCACTTCCACCTGCACCTCCAGCACCAACCTGAGCGCCAACACCCAAAATATCTGCAACAAGCTTTTCAGTGTCGACCTCATCATCGGCAGCGGTAGGATATTGCTTCGTACCCTCCCCATCATCAACCATAGATAAGTTTCCTCCACCATCCTCTCCTTCTGTCTGCATGGTGTCACCTCCTTTTCCAGCCGATGCAGGCGATATCGTCTCGCTTACTTCCTGTGCCATTATGCTCTCCGGATCTGACATCCCGAGTACTCTCCCTATATCTGCTGCGAAAGGTTTGCCGTATTCGGACTCCACCTCTTCCAAGACGCTTTTTTCCCACCGCCCACGCAGTTCTGGTTTATCAGAGGGTAGAGCGACACCACCCAGAGCTGGGAGAAGTTGACTGGCGCCTAAGGTGCCAAACGTTGCGGGTGGTGGTGCTGGAGGTCGGCCTCGGGTGCTCGACGGACGGGAGGAACTGGATGGCCGCACGAGAAGACCGTGATCAAGAAGGATGTCGTGGATTTGCTCTTGGAATACGACCTGGCCATGCGATTTGAGGTGGTGCGAAGTCAAGAATGGTCACCGAAAATGAAAGCATTAGACATCAGGAAAGAAAACGAAGAACGAACACAATAGAACCCCAAATTTTTGCTTTTATGCGTTGGGGCGGTGAGAGGTGGAAACGGTGCGAGGTACTCCATCAATTCTGGACTTGGTGCTGTGCCGACATTCACCCTCCTTCCACCGGTGTCGTGAGTGCTCTCAAAGAGGAAGGATGGAATACCCACCATCAGCGCATCCCGACACTTCTGTGCCTCAATTGTCTTTTGCAACTTTTGGTCCTGTCCACCACCTCTCTCCAGACCAGCAAGCTGGTTGCCGTCTCCACTTTGGTCCACCCCACCAAAAGCCCCAACTCGCTTCAGCTCTTCCTCCATCGCAACCCCGAACGCCTTCACATTTGGGAGCAGCAACACCTTCAAAACCTGCGGTCCAAGTTCTTTCAAACCAACGATCCCGCCATAGTTCGTCGTGAACCCTTTCTGGGGATCCAGAAATGCACGGAGAAGGGTCTTTGTTATTCGAGGCTGTAGTGTGGGATAACGAGTTCCATAGTTGTGGACGATGTAGGCGGCAAGTACGGCGGCGAAACTTCGGAGTGTCCAGTGGTCCTCTGTGGGTCGCTGGCCAAGGCGCTTTGCAACAACGCATGTGAGGATGTTCGGGATGATTTGGTGAAGCTGCAGAAAGATGGGGTTCGTTCACACTTGTCAGGATGATCCAGAAAAGGAAACTGGAATTGAGATCAAAGAAACAATACATACGTAAGGCTCAACGAACAAATTCGTATTTTCCAGAATCGCTCTCGTCAATCGCATCATAGCCCATAGCACAGGCAGGTTCCGCATATTTTTGGTCACCTGCCATCACATGGCCAAAAAAACAGGAAATCGTATCAACACAAAAGCGCTCTCATGCCGTTAGGGAAAGGAAGCTCGAAAGGGCGGATTGAAAGAAAAACTCACATTTTCAGTGATGTATTCGACAAAGTATGGCATCAAAGGCTGCAACCCTGGGTCTCGGCTAATGCTCTCAACGGCGACTCTCCGGAGCTCTTCGGAGGGTCCCATTAAGCCATCTGTGACCTTTTCGTAATACAGCTGCAGCTCTTTGGATAAAATGATTTTGACCAGCGGTTCTCTTGGAGCTCCGTCACCAGCAGTTCCAGGGGCTGTGGCATTACCGCTCGATCCCGGTGCTTCGGCTGGGGCTGGAGGGCCGGCAGTGACTGTTTTCGACGTCTCGCCGCCAGCGGCAGTAGGAACAGCAGCACCCGCGGTTGTGGAGGGAGTTGCATCGGCCTTCTCGGGTGGTGACGTTTTCGCCAGCATATTTTTGATTTCTGCAAGCATGGATTGCGCGATTTAGTGCCGGGCTACATACATACCCAACAAGATGATCAGGAAAATTCCAAGTAACTTACCTGCGGGTGTTGGGTTTTGCGGGATCAAAGGTTGTACTCCTTCGATGGCGAGCCAATGTGCTAGAATCATTCACATTAATCGATTTCTCAGCCTTTCTGCAAGTATTTCGGGAGTCCGGCGGGATGGACCATGTACATGATCTTAGTGAACGAGCAGTCCTCCAACATACCAGTATATGTTACATCCAATGGAACCGGGGGAAGAGGCGCGTAGATAATATCATCAAGATCCACCTCCTGATCGTCAACATAGTACAGTCGCTGGTTTGCTTGGGCGACCACCTTCCAACTCGTCGGCGCTGTCCATGAATTGAAACCATATAGAGGCTTAGAAGAAGTGGTGTGGGTGATGACGGTTTGTGTGGGATTTTTTTAGATACAATCGCTCACGTTGGCTCAACAAAGCAGAAAACCAAATCCCCTGAAAAGCACCGAAAGCTCTCCAGCTACCCACCTCAACGTTCCGAACTCTTAGAGCATAGTTTACGTCCTCGGCCGTTAGACGCCTACGCTTCCCGTGGCGCATGAATTTCTTTGCTTCCTATTACGTCCATGGGTTCAGAAATTTGAGTCCATAAAAGCCTGGGACGGGTCAAACTGCAGCGTAAAGAAAACTCTCCGCTTACATGGACGATTTCTCTTATTCTATACTCGACATCTTGAATCAAGGCGGAAGCGATCTCATCTTTTAGGGACAGCCCTACTGTCTCACCAATTGCCTGACAATGATAGGGAGGAATGCAGCCGAGATGACGGTAAGTCGCCTAATTTCGTTTCAGGACGGGATTCCAGGCCCTTCTTCTCTTTGTATTTATTCGATTCTCCCAGAAGCTCCGAGGCCTCAGATTGAGTGTCGGCTTACCACAACAGTGTCCTTAGAGAAGATGCTCATGATGTGCTGTTGTGTGTTCCCTGTATCACACTAGCCTACATTGGCGCTGGTCATGGTTGTCTAAAATGTGGTGCAAATCTGTCATCACGTTTTCAGATACATTTCCCATTGCTGCCTTCACACAATTGTACACGTCCTTCTCCACAAGGTTCTCCTCGACCCTTCGCAAAATCCTCAAAAACAAAAACAAAATACAAAAGGTTCAGATGAAGATTTCGTGAGGGGAAAAGGAGGGATACATCGTCCTTTTATACATGAAAAAGAAAGGGGAAAAAAAAGGAAAGTGTCATTTTGGGAAAGGGATGCAAAAAGAGTATTCCAAGAAATTCAGAAATCTCGAGAATGAGGGTGGAAGATGTGTGGAAGATCTGGAAGATATGTCGGAAATACGGAAAAGAAAGGCATCGTATATGGATGTGCCGTCTGGTGGAATGTTTTTCATAGTTGCTGCGGTTGTAGTGACTGATCCCGCCCCCAAATGCGGATCGTGTGATCATCTGATGCGGATGCGAACATGTTGTACTGTGGATTCCAGGATACGCAATTGACGCAACCTGTTGCGAAGAAACACGAAAACAATAGGAGATCAACATGGTGCTATTTTCCCTTTGAACTGGAGAAAACAGATCGCCATACCTGAGTGGCCAGGGAGGACTTCAATCAAGACTGCATGTTCGCGATGCCACACATAGATTTGTGAATCTGTAAACGAAACGGTGTGAGTTCTAGCCCGAAAGTTGATCCGCGGAAGAAGCTGAAAAAACAGAGCCACAAGGGGAACCAGAAAAGCATTCAACGTCCATGCATACAGACCTTCACTCCCACTGATCACAAAGTTCTGACGATTGCGGATGCCCCCAAAACACGACCGAATGACAAAACGTTTCTGCTTCTGTCCAACGTACTTCCGGACCACACGCTTTTCTTCCAAATCCCAAAGATGAATTTCCTGTGAAAACCAAGAAGGAACAGGTATGGCAAATGAAAGGGGGCGAGGGGCCCCGCATTAATAAACAGAAGGAAAGGATAAACACAACAATTCAATCGTCTGCCATGTCAGTCCGAATCTGCGTACCCCTATGGACAGATTCACCAAAGCGTGCCGACAGTCCTGCGCCACAAAGACAGACGTAATCGGATCCGACTCCTGAACAAATCTATCGGGCAATCCGACGCAAGCATAGACAAAAGCAAGGGGAAAACAATCGTTACTCGAGGACCGCACAGAACCAAACGGCTTTTTAAGAGTCTCACATACGCGATGTCAGACTTGTCCTCCACATTAATCAGCCGGATTTTCTTTTCCGCGATTACGGCCATCAATCTCCCATCCGGTGTGACCGCAAGGTCGTGAACTCGCGTCCCGGTCCATTTATGAAGTACAGTCCCATCGATGCTCCAAAGACATATCTGTTTGTCCTGGCTGCCGGAAACAAATCGCTTGCCATCCGGCAGCCACGCACAGGATGTTATGACCTCTGTGTGCTCGCCGTACTCGCGTTCGAACGTGGCCGTCTTATTTCATCGAAAAGGAATGGAAAAATAAAGAAATCCAGGCTGGTAAGAACGATAATGGAATTCAAACGCACAAGACAGTCTCTTTGTCTCGATTTTCACGTCATTATCACCACAACCTCCCAGCTTCTCAGAATCCAGGCCCGGTTACGATACCTTCGCA